TTCTTCCTTCTAGGTGTCCTTAGATCTGTTCGGATTGATTTCAGTTTTATTTATAGTATTTTGACGCTTATGATATAATATATATTCTTCATACTGTTTCAATCCCTCCTACGTAATCTTCCTATTACTTAACTTTTTATTTTGCTCTGAAAAATCTCTTTTATAACACAGGAAAAGTTATAAACTTGGAAATTGACAAACAGGGCTGTCAAATAGAAATATTTCATTTTTTTGTAGTGTATGAACAAATAGTTATTCAGTCAAAAAATTGAAATGTAATTGCTTATGTTGGTGGTTAGAACTGTATGAATTCAATTGTTGCTAACATTAAGTGTGACATAATGGTGGATAGTCCTGACTGAAATGATTGTGGTTGGCTATTATTTTCTTTAAACTCTTACCTATTTTTGTATCTTGGTGCTATCTCATGAACATTGAAGTTCCCCTCTTTTGTGAAAATTTTGTATTTCCAATTGGTTGGAGTCCTTGTTGTTGTTGGCAAGCTAATAGATATGTGTGTGTGTGTATACATATGTATATTATATATATATGTATATGTATATTATAGATATATATAAATAAAATCCTGAAGTCATTTTTTTCCCTGCAAGTGACAAGAAATGTTTTTTTTCTCAAGAAAATAGTCTTTCACCAAACTTGAATAAATATAGTACTTATAAATCTAGCAAATATCCTTGCTATTTGTAATATGGCAACATGGATGTAAACAAATAATTATTTCATACGGTTAAACATGATAGTAGGTTAGTCTATTTGTCCTGCCTTGATATTGGGGCTTTTCTAGCCCTTCATATTAATTATAGCTTCTTTTCACTTGCTCTTAATGCAGAACAAAAAACTCCTGAGCAAATCAGGATATCCCTCTGAAAGAAGTGAATAGAGATTAATTCGTATTAATGGATTTTTTTAAAACAGTTGTCATTTGTAGCTGTTAAGTATCTTTCTCCTCTTCCTTTATTTTAGGCTGTTTTTGTCCTACAATTCTGTAGACGACTTTTCCTTTCTATTTAATCAGTCTTTTAATGCAAGCGTAGTACCATAATGCTACTTGTGGATTGTATTTGTTTATCAGTGGATGTGAAGAGTAAATGCAGGGAACTCTTTTAAATGGAAAAAGAGCTCTTTTTAGTTAAATTTTAAAACGAAAACTGAAGTTTAAGACTGTTACAGTCTTTTAGTATTGAGTATTATTTCTCAGATAATTAAGGATAATTGTCAAGTAAAACTTGACAAGTTTTTATGCTTACTAATTCAGTATTGTATTTACTTTTGTCACATTGGAACACTTTCATTTTTGTTGAATGCTGGTTGTGTGGTCAACTTAATATTTCTTAATTTTAACAGATCAATGTGGCATATATTAAAGGAAGTTATATAAGTAGCTTATTATCAGATATKCCTTAAAATAAAAACATTTCTAGGTAAGGAAAGAGGAACACTTCTCTGCTTTCTTTTCTTCTATATGCAGTTGTTTAATGGGATAAAATTTCAAAACGTGGACAGCTTTTTTTTTTTTCTAACAGTCTATTCAGGTATGGGATCTTAATTTCCACCCCCCCCCCAAGCCCCCATCATTCTCATTTCATAGGCTTTGTTTTCATCCTATATACATGTTGATAATGGGAAAAAAAAAAAAAAAAAAAAAGTCAAAGAGGCAGATAAACTGAGAAACTGGGATATTTTTAACTGGTTGAATCTTTACTGTTTTGAATCAGGAGGTCAGCAAAATCGCGAAGCAGAAGTCCATATTCCTCAAGGCACTCGAGGTCTCGTAGCAGACACAGGTTATCTAGGTCCAGAAGTCGTCATTCGAGTATTTCGCCGAGTACCCTGACCCTGAAGAGCAGCCTGGCTGCCGAGTTGAACAAAAACAAGAAAGCAAGAGCTGCTGAGGCAGCCAAAGCCAGCGCGAAAGCTTCCAACGCTTCCACACCTACCAAGGGGAACGCGGACGCCGCTGTCAGCGCGCCTCAAGTGAACAATGTGAAGGACCTGAAGAAAATAAAAGTTGAGCAGACACCTTCTCCAACAAGCAGTGCAAATTTGAAAAACGATAAGGCGAAAGCGAAGGTTTCCCTTCCCGAGACGAAAGGGGAGAATAATTTAATTGCAGAGAAAGTTCCAAAGCAGAAGGCGGTGGCGGCGGCAGCGGTGAAAGAGAGTAAACCAGCTGCTGTGAAGCAGCAACCAGCCGTTGCTGTGAAAGAGAAGAGCAAACCGAGCGCGCCCGCTGTAACCACCAAGGAGAAGGAGCGAAATGTTGCACTACCAACCTCCACACTGCCGCCCTTGCCTTTGCCTCCCACGCTGCCTGAAGATAAAGAGACCGAGAGGTGAGTTGTGGCATYGGCTTGTTTTGGGGGCTTGGTTGCTGGTTTATTCTAGGAGGAAGCTTTCCATGAAAATGCGGCTGAACGGTTGTTTTCAAGTTGCAGGTACTTGGCAGCTTTGGAAATACTGCTCACACAATTGGAGATAGCGAGTTGAGCGCAAAGGTACATGCTGGTGAGGGAAAAGATGAATTCAATAGCGTTATCTGAAAAAGGTTTAATTGGCTGGGATTTCAGGCAAGGATGCTCTTTCCTTTGAATGACAAGTGGTTTTTCAGCTGTGTGTTATTTTATTGTAACTTGTTTTGGATATCAGTATTTTTTTTTTTTAATGTATTCTCATATAACAAAAAAGAGGTTCATGGCTTGTTGCTCATCTTCACTTATACAGCATAAACATTTGCCTGCAGCGAAAACTTCATGCGTGTACTTCAAGTGCCATCTGATTTTAGACTGCATTAAGACTCTCCATAGCCCTGATGGAGAATATTTGTTATTACTTGTGTTGGAAACTTAGGCAAATGAGCAGTAATTTTACCATTTGTATTTTGGGTTTGATGGTGAYGTTTAGAAAAAATCCCCCTTGATATTAATTGTATTTTGTATGTCTCGAATACATGAGAGATCATCATCTCWCAACATGTAAAGCAATTTCTCAGCACCAAAGTAGGAACTCCTAGTGTGACACAGCTGTGTAGAAAGTGAAGCTGTAAAAGAGAAATTCCAAACCTTAGAAATACCTTATTTCATATTTCATATCTGTGAAACTAGTTTCTTATCTCCTGTTCTTTGAAAAGTATCTAGTATATGTCAGTAAAAGTTGTTAGAAACAGTTATAAACAATTCTCTGTGTATTTACTAACAGCCTAATGCAGACAAGGTGTTGGACAATTTTTTTTTAGCGATGAAAGGGAAATTGCTTCTCGCCTCCAGCAAATGTCATTCCAATCGTTCAGAATTACAGATGTACAGATGCATTCATTACAAAGCCATCCTCTAAAGATAAATGGCATTTCTGATTATTTGGCTATTATTTGATAACAAGATTCACTGCCTTAACTAAAAGCTAAGTTACCATGTGTGGCCTGTATGTGGTGACCGGCTCTGCAGTGTTGTGGTAGTGTGAAATTTTGTCCTCAGAATGGCTATTGGTTCTATTGATTAATAGCTTTTAAATCTAAGAACTGTTTTAACTACTGTTAAACCACATGTGAGATTGTGCAGAAAGCTTAATGGCTGTGAACAGCTGCTTTGGGAAGATGAATGGTGAGAGTATAGAGTGTCAGTAGTGCTTTGCTCTGCCTRTCTGAAGTTCTGGACTTTGAATCAGAACCTGATAAACCTGAAGTCATCCAAGAAAAATGATCTGGTTTTGGAAGGGGAAGGGGGACAGCAGTGGTGTTTACTTTGGACTCATGGTTACTGCAGGGCAATTGTGTCTGCAAAGGAAGCTTGATGCTCTGCAGAACTGGCTGGCCTCATATGCAGTTCAGTAGGTATCTAATAAWCTCGTAAATAAGCTGTCTATAGGAGCAGCCGTGTTGCAAACCCSCTGCATAGGTTAGCTGAAAGGGGGAACTGTGCTGGTGGTCAGCGGGGTGTGATTTAGCAGACTTGCAAAAGGGCTTTTCTTGGCTGCTTCTGTTTTCATGTAGTTGTTTCGAAACCTGCTTCAGAACCTCTAGTGTATTGTGCTCTCCCTAATGCARAGAGCTGGCTGGCAGAACTGCTAGCCTGGAGCAGGTATTTGAACTTCCAAATTGAGACTTTTTCTTTGCCGTGCTGAATCCTTGCTCTGTTGGAAGGTGGCTGCTTTACAGCCCACCACCCATTCTGCCTGGGATGAGGACAGTGCGTGCATCCTTGAAGTTCCTCTTTGAATTCAGGCAGTGGCAGCTTGAGAAATGCAAGTCATTCCAGTGTTCTGTTTTTGTGATGAAACGTAGATGGAAGGCACTGGAAACATTGGAATGCTTTACTCATAATTATTGCAGTTAGTAATCTACAGATATTTAAGAAAGAATGTGTGTTCTTCATGATGCAAGATAGGAAGTTCTTTGTAAGTAGATGAGAAGTTTTAGGAAAAGCTCCATAAAAGGTTCCCAGAGGAAGAGGATGACAGTAGGATAGCATGATCTGAAGTGTTTCAGTGAATATATGAGATTGATGGAGTCTGAATCACATGGTGTGGATAACTCCATAATAACCTGCAGGTTTCGTGACCGTGTTAGTTATCTTTGGAGAGCAACGTTACAGGGCATTGGATCAGTATAATATTTTTTTGTGTGGGAAGTCAGCTGGACTACAGATTCCACCTCTGTGCTCCTGAGACCTGGGGGCAACGGGGCCCTAGATGCTCTTGATAACTCAGGCTGGGAGCTTGGAAAAGAACCTCATGTGGCAGCAGAAATCTGGGCTGGAAGCCCCGGGCACTTTGTTGCTCTGGCAGGGGAGGTTTGCTGTGTCATCCGACTGGCTCTCTCACCAGGCATGCGAGGTCTTAAAATCTGATTTCACAATTTCTGTAGAATTTCAGTAGTTATCTGTGCATCTTTCACAGCACTGTTTGCTATTTGTAAAGTGTAAATCCAAGTCCTGCAGATTTTGAGTACAGAGGTTTCAATTTTCTGTGCACAAAGAAGCCCGGAATATACTGAAGAATATAGTAATCCCAATGGGTTTTCCTGCATGTATTTTAATCCCATTGCACTGTGTTCAACATGCTAGTAAACCTGTCATCTTTTTACTAGTTTACGAGAGAATATTTCAGTGAAGTCGGTTAAAGAAGCAGAGAAGAAGCTTCGCCATCTGCTCGCRGACCTGCCGCTGCCACCCGAGCTGCCCGGAGCACCCGAGTTATCTAAAAGTCCTGAGGAGAAGAAACCGGTGGTTCAGTTACACRCCAAGAGGCGACCCAAGTATGTTTGCTAGCCTTTGTGAGGGAATTGCTCCAGCAAAAATGATGGTTACTTTCAGACGTGCTCTGCAAACGTTTACCATGTTTTGTTGCTTAACGTTCCTGAGGTGTGAATCAAAGTGCACGGTTTATTGCCACTTATTGTATGAAGCTGCTTACCTAATAAGGTCTTAATTTTGAGTTTTATTCAGGTTTGCAGCAGTCCTTAGGTATGTTACCAGTGCCAGAGGTTAGGGGATTGATAATTCTACTTTGTGTGACTTGTACAAACGCTGATAAAATCTCATCCCTTGTTTATATCTCTGTTGTTACCGCTGTAGGTCTCCTTTTTTTGTTGCTCTTGCTTGTTTTCAGTTCTGTACAGCGCAGCGATAAGCAAGTGAACAGAAGTGGCAGACAGAATAGTCAGTTGGGGGGCAGCCTSTTGATGGTTGAGCTGTACAGTTCCATGTTGTATATCAAGTGTAAAAACTTCCCTGGCAATCCGTGGCCTTACTATAAAATCCAGTGCAAACTGTTKAAAGTATATTTCACTTCTGCAATGTTCACAGTTCGTGTTGTAACAACAGAGCTGCAACATCTGCACAGCAAGGAGAACCGAGTTGAAAGCTTTTACAAAAAGTATTTGTGTCAAAACCAACATTAACAAGTTGAATTTTGAAAGCTCCCTTACTTAAGTTTTTAAAGTCTTTTATGTGTGAAGAAGCCATGACACAAAAAGGACATTCTTTTTTTAAATTTCAAAGTTTATAGAGGCTTTTTTTAAGGCTGTGTTCTTAGATATGCTTATTGTTTTCTAGAATATGTGGACCACGACACGGTGAAACGAAAGAAAAAGAAATAGACTGGGGAAAGCGCTGTGTGGATAAATTTGACATCATTGGGATTATCGGTGAAGGCACTTATGGGCAGGTTTACAAAGCCAGAGATAAAGACACAGGTAGGCTCAAAAGTCTAAATGTAATGCTGCAACTTGAAAAATTCAACGGTTGTTTATTTTTTGTATATTGAGTAAAATTTGTGGTATTCTGCTCGTTACACTCGTTACACATGGGTGTTTGGAAATGTTTGTTTTGTCTGAATTGTAAGTTATCTTTTGAGTCTTGGAAAATCATTTACCTGTAGAGTTGTGACTGGAAGCTTAAGTAGTTGAGGAGTCCTGATCCTTTTTTTTTTCCTCTCTTTAAGCTTTGATGTTCTGCACACAATTAACGGAGTGAAGAGAGTGGAGTCGGGGTGGGGGGAAGCTGTGTGGAAACTAAATGGCCCTCTAGACAGTTTGCAGAGGGACACAGGGGTGAAAGACCATCTTCACTAGACTTAACTGTTTTTCTCCTTCATACTCAATAGCTACTGTCTGGTACTTGGGAGAGAATCTTCCTCTCTTCCATGCTGCTTTGAAAAATTGGTTACTTGTCTTTTTTTTTTTTTTTTTTGGCAGTATATCATGTAACTAACTTTACAATAGTTTTTTTTTTGTGTTACTTTGTTTTAATTTCATGTAGTTAAACAGCATGTTGCTCAAATGAGCAAGTGTGAAACACTGCAGTATGTGAAAACGTTATCACTGCATCTGAACAGAAAATACAATGAAGTGGATTTTTGTTACATGCTGTACTTGGCTTGATCATTTGATGTTCAAGTGGGAGTTCTCTCTGTGACTGCTTTCCCTTTTGGCTTATTTGTGCACACCTTGAACCTGGATGATTTTCTGCTTTAACAGTACCTGAAGCCCAGAGGATCACATAGCAGCTTCATTTYTGTGGTGTGCAGAAGAACAAGTGCTGTGACTGTGCCTGCTTCTGAGCAATTCGCCTCCGCTTGTCTGAGCTCACAAACTTTATTTCTTACCTTAAGTACAAGTGTCACAGATTTTAGTTTTACCGCTTACCATGGAGCCACTGCAAGTCAGTGTTTGGAGCGGCTTCTAGSGCTCCTGTAATGCTGTTCTTGGTGCATTTAACTTTGTGACACATTTGTAACCACATTGGCCTCTTTGGTAACTTTGAGAGTATTTGTGGCAGTCATTTTTTATCCTGCAGTTGAAGTTGTTGCTCTATGTGTTGAACAGCAAGTGTTGTATTGGCTTGGGCATTCAGATCTTGCCCTGAAAGATCTGCCCTTGTGCCCTTCAAGCYGTGTTGTAACAGCCTCTGCGTTGGGCTTGCAAAGCAGTGGCATTGAAGAGGGAAGGCAAAGATGTTGCATCAGCTCCAGACTGGTCTCTGAAACCGCGCCTTGGGAATGTGGCTTTTGAGAATGGGAGTTGTTCAGATTTGTGGTCTGCTTTTAGTGGGTCCTTCCAGCTCCAGAGGAACAGAACTCACGTTTTTGTGTAATGGCACCTGTCTGGAGACTCTTGGGCTGTCACAACCACTGATGAATCTCATCAGAGCACTAGCACGTCTGCTGGGCTGGCAGTAGTTGCTCCTTGCACRGGTGGCCTGCTTGGATGAAGGATATGTCAGAGGCTGCTTTTCTGCCCTCTACTGTCTCTGATGTTGCAGTAGGAGCAGGTTCTTTGCTGTCTGCACCATTGCCTCCTTTGGAGTGGTTGTTAAGAGGGCCTAGAAAGTTGGACAATGATCCTTGTATATATGCAGAAGATATCTTTATATCCTGTGTTATTCCAGTTTGTGTTGTAGCTTGATGCATCATCTTTGAGGTATGATCTGGGAGGCATTATCTTCTGGGGTTAAGAACTGGTCTCACTGCATCAGTGACATACTCCTCTGAGACTGCAACGTTAGGATTTCCTTCATTCCTTCCTCCTTACTGCAACCTTTGCTTTTGGTCCTGTCTGCTTTATGGGTAACTTGCTCTGCTTTGCCTGACAGATCACCATAGAAGCTATTAAATGTTAGTGGAGCTCACAACAACATCTTGGCATCCTGCGTTCCACTGCTAGCACCTCTTTCTGACCAACACTGGCTGAAGGGAAGGACTTGTCTGCGTGTTTACTGCTTTTGAGCCCTCTCCATAACGTTTCCCTCGCAACAGCCCTGTGACCTCGAGTGCTTACTTCTATGTGTCAGTGTAGTTACATTGCTTCCTTCCAGGGATGCCACAAAGCATTAGCCCTGCTGACTCTTGTTCTGTTACTTCAGTGTTAGTTCCCAATCTGTGTGGCACGCCGCAGTGCAATGTATTGTATGTGCATCATATACGCTGCTGCAAGATATGCCTGTGCTTTCATTGAACTTCTCACTAAAGGAAGTGGATAAGTTGGCATACAGGTTCTMGATAGCCTCCATCAGGAGGAGATGGTGTTGCTGCCATTTTGCACTGTAGCTTTATCCAGCCCAGCCTGCAGTAAAATAAATGAAGAAAACTTCCTCACAGGATGTATGGATGAGACGTACTCTTTATTAACAGAAGATTGAGCCTCCTGGAAGGCTTTTTGCCTTAATTAGGGAATTGGCTCAACAAATGAGGTTCTCCTAGAGGTTGTTTCTTCCTCGAGTCAGTCAGACCGCAGCAAAGGTGGTTGTGGCTTTGAGCTGCTGTCCGTGACCTCCTTGTAGCACGTGCCTGTTGCCAAGACCAGCCATGGAGCTTTTCTCGTGCTCTCTGATCTCTGAAGGAGGACCCTTCAGAGCAGTCCTCCCAGCCAGGAACTCCAGCTCCTTGTCATTCAGGTGTTTTGTGTGCAACGTTGTTTGGAGTTGCTTGTAACATTAATGTACTCATAGCTACGTGAAAGAAAGGTTACCTGYCTGCAACTGTTCTTTAATGTGTTTTGTCTGTACAAATGTATGTTGGCAAACCTTATTCTTCCAGGTCTGTGCAGGACTTTGGGGGGTTCTGAGGCAAGGATGGCCTTTTCCCTTGTAAGAGGTTTGTGAGAGACATGCAGACCAGGAGAGGAGGTTCCTGCAAGTGCTGCATTCAAATGAAGCTTTCATTAAAATGTTAACATTTGCATTCATGTGACTTTCAGTGCTTGTGGGAGAAACCTTGGGCTTAATTGTGTTTGTTAGATAGGCTACACCTGAGAAGAACAATAAGCTTTCTGGTCTTCATAAAACACACCTTCCTCATTGGAGGGCAGGAGGAGGAGAATCTTTCTTTGCATTCTGACCTGTGATGTTAAGAGTAAGAAATTTATAGCASACATAGGCACCTGACTGTAAAGCTACTGCTGAGCATTGATGGTAGATGTGGTTTTATAGATGTAGATGTGTGTGRACTCAGTGTGGAAAATCAGATCACAGGTAAGTGAGGCTTAATAGATGTCAGCTGACAACTCTCGTATCCGGTGTCATTTTCTCTATGTGACTGTTTCCCCAAATTGCCCTAGTTAAATTTCCCGTCAGCATAGCACTGGTACTTGTTTGCTATTCTTAGCTTGTTTGCTATTTTTAATGTTTTACGTTGAAATTTTCTCATAGGAGAAATGGTGGCACTAAAGAAAGTACGTCTAGATAATGAAAAGGAAGGATTTCCTATTACTGCTATTCGGGAGATTAAGATTCTTCGACAGCTTAATCACCAAAGCATTATCAACATGAAGGAAATAGTGACGGATAAGGAAGATGCTTTGGACTTCAAGAAGGACAAAGGTATGTTCACTACCACGGGGGTTTGTTATTTGTGGCCATGGTCTGCGCTGCAGGGACTGAACGGATTTTGTTAAAAATGTTTGTAAATTGTGACCTTTAGCAAGGGGATATAGTGGGATTTGGTTGCTGTTGGAAGTCCTTTACTTGACTCGGTGCTGCGTTCTGTTTATACAGACTTTTTTTTGTGAATATTCTATGGAGTAAAAGGTTTCTTTCTGTTGCTTGATGATATTTTTTAGAGAAGAACAGAACAGATGTTTGACTTCTTGTCACACGCAGCTTAGGAGGGCAGTGACAAGGGGAAGATCTTACACGGGAGGTTTTTAGCCTTTTGCTGCTTTTGTAATCTTTTATCATAACATGTGAAGAGACATTTTTTATTACAGGCCTCGTTTTTGTCGGAGCGGTGTTTCAGCTTTTCAGAGCTGGAGTGTGTGTGCCTTGAAGGCTGGAAGGGTGAATGAAAGCAAAATTTGTGCTCTTTTTGTTCCTGCAGTGTTAAGCCTGGCGGCTGTGAGTTGCAGCAGCCTCTTCAGCTAGAGAATCAAGTGCACAGGAGGGAAGTTGCTCAGTGTGGCTGCTTGCTGCCTTTGATATTGGAGTGATCACTTGGTCTTCGGAGGCTGTTTCCTTGTAATTAYAAGTCTTATAAATGGATAATTTCATGGCATTTTAGTGTCCTGTGGACGATCTTGRTGAGTGATTGGGCTGAGGAGCGTGTTTGGAATGTGCCAGCCCTGCTGCTTCCCTGTTCTCCCTTCCCCAGTTACTGCAGGGAATGCCCAGCAAAAACCTGCGTACAAAACTGCATCTGTACTGCYGAGTCAGCAGAAACATCAGCTGACACCGTGAGTCAGAAGATGACAGTCAAAGTTAGGCAGGAATCGGGTGYGTTTTCCAGCATCTTTTAGAAGGTAAAAAACCCTGAAGAGTTTGCAGCGCTGACCTGCTTGGGAAGGAGGGGAGTTTATCGGCAGGTTGGAGTAGGAATATTGATCAAAACAGTTTCCTAGGTGTGTGCAGGTGCAGTGGTGAGCAGCGGCTTTGTATAGAGTTTTCATTAGATCTAAGCTGCCGGGCTAATGAGATCCCCTTGAGCCTTGACTTCGGATTTAATGTCTTACTAATAGACGGTCTCCCTTTCAGTGTGCTGCTATATCGAGAATTGAATTGAAAGGGTTTTGGGGGTTTTGATATTGCTTTCAATTTATTTACACATTCATATTTAACAGCTTATTAAATATGTCTTTAGTAAGCCCTGTAAAGGAGGGAACTTTGCTAAAGGTCCTAGAATAAAACTTGCTTCTGGTAGTCTTGAAAGCAGTAGCAAGAAAATGGGGCTGCGCTGCTGTGATTTGGCTGCAAAAAGATAGTTTGGGTTTCCTTGCTTTGTTTTCAGGATGCTGCATTCTGTACTTCTCCAAGAAAAGTAGCTCATTATAAGGTGGGCCTTTTAGATAAGAAGTTGTGGCCAATTTCTAGTCTATGCAAGGAAGAATGCAAGCAGGAAATGCAATCATGTTCACAGTCAGCTACTTCAAGCTCAATAGGAAGACGCTTGGGCTAAGAAGGGACAAGCTGCAAAGATGACAGTGGTATTTCTTATTCAAGCACAGCTCCCAGTGAAAGCATAGTGTTTTGCTCTCATTAATGTTTTTGGTTCATTTATGTTCTTTGCTTAATTTCCCTGTGGGATATAGTTCTTATAAAACACTGCTGAAGTCCTGTATGCAGAAGTTGGGTATGAGAACATTTCTTCTCATCTCTGTTCCTCTAGCTCAGAGAAGTAAAGCTGACTTTCTGTCTAAGGTTGCTTCTCATATCCACACCCATTACTAATCTGCTCATTCACTCCAAGATTCTTTTGATGGTATCTTAATAAAGTATAGCAAATGTAATATTCTGAGAGTTAAGTAAGTGTTGGGAATGTTCTGTGTTTAAAACCTTTTTTGAAGTTGCTTTATAAGATCTTTATAAGATCTTTCTCTTCTGGAGATCTTCCAAACCCGCCTGGATGCCACCCTGTGCTGCATGCGCTAGGTGTCCCTTCCTGAGCAGGGCGGTTGGACTCGATGATCTCTAGGGGTCCCTTCCGACCTCGACCATTCTGTGATTCTGCGAGGTGGTAACACGCAAACCAGAAGTAGCTTGCTTTTGTACCACTTTGTCCCCATAGTCTTAGTCCTTCAATTATGTAGTCTTAGGTCTTTCTCATTTTTGAGCATCGACTTGTCTCAGAAATTTTAACAGCACTGTCTTTAAATAAAGTGAAAGAAAAACATATCCTGACCATTTGGGGATGTAACCTCAAAAATACCAATGACACCAATAGAAAGGATAAGATTTATTTTTCCAGGGCCATTCATTAGAAAAACGTACTGCACACACTGCAAACAGGGAAGTTTCCAGTGCCGCCTCGCGGGCAGCTTGCGTGGATTTGGGGTGTGCGTGGGGCCATCGCACCGAGCTCCTGCACTCCCCACCTGTGCAGCCTGCACAGGACTGTGCAGGTACAGTATGTATTTGCTTAGTAGTTGTGGGGGGAAGAAACTATTGAATGTGCTGTAAAAACTTGCTGATTTACATTTATTTAAAACGCCCTATCCCAGTGAGATGGCACAGGGCTGATTGTGGATGTGTGTGTGTGGCTGTAGCAGGCGCGAGCTGAAAAGGTTGGTGCTTGTGGCCAGGTCTGCTCTCAGCAGCTTTACTTGATAGTGGTGCCAATGAATTGGTGCTCACCTTCTGGAAGGAGCCTCAGGAGCTGGGGTAGTGGATCAGGAGTGGGAAACGGGGCACTTTGTGGAAGCCATCGTTTCTTCACAACGTTTTTGTGTGAGATTGCCAGTGCCATGGTAATCGAAGGAAACAAGATTTGCTTTAAAGCAGAAATTATTTGAAAACAAAGGGCAATTTGGTAGATATATTCCAATTTGCATATCTTGTAGGCAAAGTTAATCAAGCCATTTTATCGGTGGCAGGAAAAATCTTTGGAAAAAAGGCCTTGTTTTTAATATGCTTTCATCAGCTGTTTCTTCTCTTTGTTGTGTCTTGATTTTTTTTTTTTCATTGTGAAAAGCCATTTTTTTTCTTTTTTTCTTTAACCACTGTATTTCTTTTTGCTTGGGTACTTGAGATGCTCTTTTGGTTCTCCTCTGGTTCTCCCCTGCCTCTTTAATAGCTGCTTGCCATTGGCAAGTGCTTAATGGACTACATGTGGAACTGCTGTTAATAATAATAATAATAATAATAATAATAATGTTTAAACTCAACACAGAGGTTTGACCTGATTTTGTTCCCTTAGCTTATTACTGCTACAAAAACTAGTGTCTGGTGCATCTTTTGCTGCTCTGAACGTAAGGCGGGAGGTGACCTGCCTGACCTGTCTTACTCCTTTCAGCTGCAAGAGGCATTTTCAGCCCCTAGCCCAAGGGAGAATATCAGGWTCTGCATGGGAGACTTTAGTAAGAAAAATCTGGCTAACATCACTRTTAAAATATATGTGCATGTGTGTGGATTTCCTTTGAATTGTGGAGAGTTTTTTTAGGCGTTTGCAGTTCATTTTAAGATCTACATTTACTTCAGCTTTGTATTCAGCTTTGGGTTGACTTGCAGAGCAAAATTAAAGCAAGCCCTGTAGGCATGAAGTCAGTCTGTGTTCTGCAGTACACTTATCACGAGGCCTCTGGCTCTGTGGCACAAAGTTGTACAACTCTCTAGTTACTGTCTCACAGCCCTCAAGGAGCTCTTAATGTGTCTGGAAATCTGTGCTTTGGAAGGGGTCCGTGGCAGCAATGACGCTGTTGTCAGGGAGTGCTTCACTCCAGGGCTCTTCATTCCTACTGCAGGTGGTTTTATCCAGGTTTCCCGGGAAGTCTACTAGGAGATGCAAAATGAAGTGAATCTGCACTGCTTGGAGTCTTTCAGGAGGGGCAAGAAAAGCAGAATTTAATTTCCTGTGGTGCTTGGGGTTGAACTGAATGACAGATGCAGTATGGACCTGGAGAGATGACCAAATGCTTTTCATTTTGTTGTCTTGTGTGTGCTTTCTATGAAGCTGGGTGAGTGCTGACCCACCTGTGGAAGGTACCTGCTAAGGTAACACATGAGGAGAGAGACAGCTCTCGAGAAAAGGATGGTCTGTCGTGTAGCCCCTGTCCTTGGGCAAGAGGGCAAGGGCTGCTTTTTTTCGAACTGATGGATTATGCTCAACTTCAGGCACCCATTCTGATGTGGTGGATTTCTTGTAAGATGGAGAGCATCTTGTGGTGAATGCAGGATTTTTGCATCTTCCTTATTGTTAAATTAGAGGATTTGCCACTGTATTTCAGTAGATTTGCTGGCGTAATAGGCTGTAGATGGGTTMTGTTTCCATGCTGCTTTCTCCCCCAGCTGAAGCAAGCTCTGAGCCTTTGGTCTGCAAAGTTACCTGTTGCACTTGGTCTCCCACAASCAGCACAAACAAAACCAGACTGTTCTGAATTTCATAACACTCAAACATACAGCTTGCCTTGCTGTTCCCCAAATTGCTGCTGGCCTCTTCTTGCCTAAATAGTCTTCTTACTCTAGTTAAGTTATCAGGAGTAGTGTGAGTGCTTGTGTGGTACCTGGCACACTGTGTGTTTTAGAGCCTCTGGCTTCGGAGGAGTGCAGGCCTAGTTGTGTGGCTGCTCATCTTGATCCATGTTGGGGCAACAAGAGAGGAACAGTCAGATTTATTAAACAAAATCCTGATTTCCTTTTCTGACTTTTCCTCCACTTTGTCTTGTCATTTTTTTTTCTCCTCTCCCATTTCTCAGCAATGCTTCCTGGCCCAAGTGTTCCCTTGGAGGTTTCCTGCACCTTTTTCAGAGCATGGGTATCCATGTGCTCGCCGTTCGGGTTGCATTTGCTTCAAGAGAAATGCAAGTGAAGTTGCTGTGAGGCACTAACACTGTCATTAAGGAAAATCTTAATGCTGAGTGAAAATGTAAAGAAAGGAAAAATTCTTTTGTTAGGGACTAAGTTTGGCTGAAAACATCTTATAAGAGATGAAAGATAAAATGATTATGGCACTCTTGCTTTCTTTGCAGATAAGGTGGTGAATTTAGAGGCTGAGTCTTGTCTTGGTCTTTCTCAAGTTAGAAAACAGATTTGTAAGAGTTGAATGGAAAGAAAGTAGCTGGTTTCCCTAAAGTGCAGGAACCTTAAGGAATTGCTGGACAGTCACTTTCTTTTAAAATTTAAAGCTTTGAGTTTGTTAAAATTCTGTGTTCAAGAACTGCCATGGGAAACAGTGTGTCATGAGTCCTTGAAAAGAAGAGTTGAGGATGTGGAAGAGTAAATGTAATGCAATTATCTCTAATCAGTCAAACAGAAGTAAGTATCTGTGAATTGCATAGAAGAAACTGGGAGACTTATTAGCAAAATRAGAATCCAGAGAACTCCTTAAGAGTTTCCTGGAACGGGGAAGCAAAAACCAGGGAAAAGCCAAGATAGGAAAAGGGCTGAGAACACCGAGAACATGGGGTCATGACCCCATGGCCTGCAGGAACCTTTGTGCTGCTTGGAGCCAGGGGTGAAATTCCAGGAGACATCAAGGGTTTGTGAAACCCGCTGCCGTAGTGTCAGCTGCTTTGGTGCTTTTTGTGTGATAGAGAGGAGCCTTCTCATGCTCTGGTTCTCGCAGAATCACAGAATGGCTGAGGTTAGAAAGGGACCTCTAGAGACCATCTAGTCCAACCTTCCTGCTCCAGCAGGGACACYCAGAGCACGGGGCACAGGGCGGCATCCAGGCGGGTTTAGAAGACCTCCAGAGAAGGAGACTCCACAGCCTCCCTGGGCAGCCTGTGCCAGGGCTCTGTCATTCTCGCAGTGAAGAAGCTCTTCATATGGAAATGGAACTGCCTGTGCTTAAAAGATGTTCTAGATGTTCCAGCCACAGTTTTTGGCTGAAAGCTGTTTGCTTGTTTGTTTGTATTAGTAAAAAATGCGCAGTAGCCATAAGTATGAAATGCTTTATTTGTGGAAACTGCAGAATGCAGTGGCTGATCTTTCACCTACCCCTTTTTATTTATTTTTTTTAATGCTGAGGAAGCCACTTTAGCCAGTTGCTACTGAGATGCCAGTTAATAGAGAGATCCCTGGGTTTGAGGCTGCCTGGCCCAAAGGGGCATTTCGGTTTGCTAAGGTTCTGAGCCCTGGCTGCAGATGATGTTTGTAAGACTTGTGTTAAAGCATGAATTTGAAAACAGTGAAATAACTTGGAAAAACTGACCACCAAGCATCTCAGGTGGAGCTTAGAGGATCCGAACACTGATCTGTGTTTAATTGGAWGTTTTGAGAAGTCAGAAACAGTTTCTTTACAAAGTTGTGTCTGAGAAGCATTAACTTAAACTATCATCTGTWTAAGCTCTTGGATCCTCTCCTGACCTCTAACCCCAAGCACTTTTACCTTGCTTTGAGAGCAAACGCATAACTTGGTGTCCTGCTTCACTGGGCAGTTCTGGGTGATTGAGTKACAGTGCCAAAAAAAGCAGAACCTTTCTGCATCACCAGAACACCACGTGTGTTTTGGTGTTTTCTTCAGCCCCAGGAAGATGCTCCTGCGTTGGGCTTTGTGGCCACCTCGTGTGCCGCCCGGGCACCTGCCTAGCGCTGGAGAGTCCAACCATGGGTGTGGGAGCTGGAGAAGGGCACGTGCTTATTCCTGAGCTATTCTAAACCAGTGTCTCACTTTTTAACCCTTATATACTGTCATAATAACCCAAAAGGTGATTTCTTTCTAAATGCAAAAAAAAAGGGGTGAGGTTAGGATTATTTACAGCATTGGAGTGAGTCTCCTTGATTTATCATGTACCTCCCTGATAGATTCAKCTGCGAACCCCCATCCTGTATTCAACACTAGGCAATATTGCTGCTATGCAGCTGCTCCAGCTGCTGCTGCCCCATCAGCGTGCAGTGACACTGAGAAATCTCGTGATCTCAGGTGAAGATGCAGAGAAGAGCTACGTGGTATTAGCAAAGAAAAGCGGGCAGAGACATAACGCACTATTGATGCGCTCTTGCTGAGCTCATCAATAATGGAAAATGGACTCTAGGTGCTTAATTAATCAAGCAGTGCAGATCTTTAACATAACAGCAGTAAGATGAATAAGATAAAAGTCATGTAAGTAATTGTGAGTTGATTTGTATTGCGTGTTGAGGACAGTAGCACTGCTGTCAGTGCTATTATTGACAGTCCCTTCAGAAATCTGGGTACTGGGGGAAGCTGRCTAGAAAAATGAGTCATTTTAAAACATTATCTCCATCGTGGTTCCATAAAGGAAAGAATGCTTCTTTTTGTCTGTTGTCTTTTTTCCCTTTCAAGAAGAAAATATTTGTGTGGCCTTTGTTTAGGTTAAACTGAAGGGTGATGAGTTTAAGGTAAACCTGAACTCGCTTCTGCCTATGCGTGGCTTGTGAAGTCTTCCTGAGTGCCTGTAATTGCCTTCCATATTAGGAAGGCTCAAATTCCCTGATCTAATGAAAGCTAAGGGTGATTTGAAATGGTCAGATGGAATAATGTAAATTCGGTTGACTGAACCTGCAGACATCTATCRAAGGTGCCCTCATTCATTCATCCTAAAATAAACTTGCAGGTTGCACTTCAGTTTGCCTAGTAACTTCTTTGCAACTATGTTTACTTCCAATTCCAGCTTAAGTAAGTGCTAAAAATAAAAGCATAATGGTGAGGCTGTCAAGGCTAGTAGGCAAGTTTTAATACTTCCTCATTACTCAGAAAGACTCTCCTTTGACAATTTTTTTTAAAACCTTCACCTCTAGCAATGTATAYATAATATGTAGGCAGTAATGCACAGATATAATGACGATGTTTGCTCTGATACGGAAGGAGCCTTTGGCATTTCGACCTGTCGCTCTGGTGTATGTTTAGTACAGAGAGTACTAAAGTACTAAAGACTGCAGAGAACATAAAGAATTGGGTGTCATTGACTGGGTGCTCTACCCTGTTTCTGAATCTTCTCCCTTGGTGTCAGCTTCCCRTCCTGCGTGAGGGTGGCGCTTGCGGTGGCTGCTTATGAATCACGAAGACTTATGAATATGAAGACTGCCCTGAGCAGGAAATTGCTCRAGGCTGGGGCTGCTTTGCACCTAAAGGAGAAGTCTGGGTTCAGCTAAAGCTCCAAAATCCCATGGGCTCTTCCCTGTGTACCTGTGAGCTAGTGCTCTCTGTATTTTGTTTCTAGATTTCTCCACCAACTTTAGGTAGGGAATACTAACCCAGTGCAATTTTCCTTAAGTAAAATGATACTGTGATGGAGAGCCACAGGGTGAGTACATGTCAATACTCGCTGGTCGAATTTTGTTTTCTCAAATACTTGTCGACTAGAAAAATTGTTTACATGGAAAAACAATGTTAGAAAAACATTTTATAGCACTGTATTTTGTTGTTGTTGTTATTGGAAATGGGATATAGCTATAAATACTGAAAAAATGTAAATAGTTATATGTGAAAAATACTTCCTACTCTCTGAAGTAGAGAGCTGCAGCATTTTGCACTGCATTTAATCGGTCTTTTTCTCTCCTCTCTCTTTCCCTTTTACTGCTTCTTTTCTTAGGTGCATTTTATTTGGTGTTTGAATATATGGACCATGACTTGATGGGACTGCTGGAATCTGGTTTGGTTCATTTTAATGAAAATCACATAAAATCATTTATGAGACAGCTGATGGAAGGCTTGGCCTATTGCCATAAGAAGAACTTTTTGCACAGAGATATCAAATGTTCAAATATTCTACTAAATAATAGGTATGAATATTACTTCATGGATGTAAAAAGTTGTGTGTTAAGAACATCTTAAATCTTTCATTTAATCTTCTGAGTTCACCTGCTGCTTTAGGCCACTGGCAACCCCTCTTTTTTTTTTTTTTTTGCCTGGTTTCTTTACCTGCTTGTAAAATATTAATCTGATTTTACAGTTTAACACTGGATCCTGCAATTATTTGTTAAACTTCATCTGTGTTGGAGTAGCAGGATTAAAACTTAAATCCATTAGGTGACACTGAAAAAATATCTGAGTGCAAATACATTAAAACAGAATTTTAGGAAAGAAGTGTTTCATGTGTGTTCTTTTTGCTGTCCCATTTCAAAATGCCATGTCACTAGGCTGGTTCATTGCACTGTAATTCTGAGATCACCATCAGTCTGCCTAATGTTTTAGAAGAATGTTTGACCACACATGTTCAAAGTAAATTCTGTTCTTTTGGCTTGAAGTTATAGCCAGGTATCAAATGGGGCCAAGTATTTCTCACTTTTTAACTAGTTGTGCTTACAACGCAAGTTGGTAAACACACTTTCATTAGAAAAAAAAATCATAATGAACCCAAGCTGCTGTTCACCATCAGGAAGGATATTGAGAACAAGACAACATTTGGCTGCTTTATGAAGTTCAGCGCCTGTATCTTGAATTCTGTGTGCAGTTCTGATCCCTGTATTTCCAAGTAGCCCAAGGAGAACTAGAGCAGTAGAGAGAAGGACAGCTAAGGGGATGGAAGGAGACAGGAGATAAAAGCAGGGAGAGCTCCTAGTTGTGGAGAGGAGCTGGGGCCTGCAAAATCATTGTAGATGGCTCTCATGCAGAATTGTTATTCACCGAAGCCAGCAATTCTAAAATCAGGGTGCAGTTTTGGAGCTTCTTAAGAGTCTTAAGAGTATAGATTTAAAACAGACAAGAGTACCCTGACAAGAACAGGTAGCTTCCAGAATCTCTTACCAGAGAAGTCTGTCAAGRCGGTGTCAAGAGATGCAGAAAGGGACGAGACAGGTTTATGAGCAACACTATTAAGAGATGCTATAGGGAATAGCTGGGAATATGTGCTCTAGCACCCCTAATCCAAAGGTTATGGGTCAAGCATGAGGAAAAGCAGCCTTAAAGTGATCAGGTTCCCGTGTTCTCCCTGTTTATCAGCATCTGCTGCTGTTGGATACAGAATACTGGGCAGTGTGGATCAGTGGTCTCACTTGGGAGGAAGACCCAGCTTTGTCCCAGGTTTAGCCCAAGTTCAGTTTTTCCTTTCTTCCTGCTGCTTTTTTTTTATTATTTTTTTTAACCATGACCTAATCTTAGGCTGTCCTCAGTTGTGGCTCCCACGTAGTGTTCCCAGGTGCTGAGACACGAGCCCTTGCACAGGTGTACACAGCTCTGCAGCGCTCGCCTTGCCCTTGCTCTGCCCCTTTATTCCCCAGCTTATGCACTCATCTCTGGTGTTGATGCTGATGCTGGGCACATCCWGGGAGCTCGGGAGATAAGATAAAACCTGGTGGTGGAGCAGGGCTCTTTACAGCAGGGGCAAGACTTTCTCTAGGACCATGCTCTCCCCACTTCAGAACATGCAGAGCTTTCTCTCGGATATTTTCTGACCATCCCTAGAGGTTTCCACTGGAGGAAGAAAAAGTTGGTCAAAATAATTTTACACCAATATTCCAAACCAATATTACTTAAATTCCATTCCCAGTTACAGTCTGAAGCCAAACACATGCATTTCTTGTTGTTTAGCTATGCAACCTAAAGCATCTTTGGTCAATAGTCATTGGTCATCCAGAAATACGATATCTGAGCAACAGGCATATGAACTTGTAGGATGTGTTTCTTTGCTTCTGGGAAACCTCTATAAAGTGTAAAAGCAGCTCCAAACACACATCTGCAGTGTGTGCAATGGAAAACACAGTGGGATCTGGATGTTTTATATCACAAAATAGTATTTCCCACCCTATTTTGATGAACTAAGCTGAAAGTGACAGGAGTTTTAAACGCTCATTCATTTCATGTGTTAGAAGTGTGCAGGTAACTTTCTGCACATGATATCCAGACTTTCCAGGGGATGGGGCACCTGTTTATCAGGTGGTTTGTGCAGTCCCTTTCAGCCAGGGAAAAAGCCAGGCCAGACCTCAGTGTGGTTCTTCCCCTCCTCACCTCAGGGAAAGCTGAAGAGGGGCTTGGGGGCAGTGTCATTCAGCATGTAGGCAACCACAGCAAAAATAAAAGCCTTCATCTGGCCAGGCACCCTGATTTAGAGGCCAAACGAGCACTTTTTCAAGAGCCAAACGAGACATTGACACCTTCTTACAAGGAAGCAGGACTGCTCATGGACATTTGCTGTACAGGTGCTTGTGCTGGCATTACATTAACTCCTAAGCATAGAAAATAGCAGGTTTCTCCCGCAGATTTTTACTGCAGTGTAGCTGATTTTAATGCTTTAGAGTTGTAAGCCCAGACCTTACGTATCCTGTGATAAAGATGCCATTTTATTTTGCTTATCTTACTCTGATATTGTCATTTAGCATGCTTGCTAATTGAAGAGGTGCAGAGATTGCAAGATATTTCCTCATCATTGACGTGAATTACGAGTTCCAGTAATGTGAATTTCAGATAGTTGCAGCTGCCTGAAAATCTGAAACTTAACCCCCTTTGGGGGAGGACACCTTAACCACTGAGTAATTCTTTGCTTTTTCCACCAGAGGGCAGATAAAGCTTGCAGATTTTGGCCTTGCTCGGCTGTACAACTCAGAAGAAAGGTAAGATGATACCACTATGTGAAAACGCATTCAGGRGCTTGATTTCTTATGTAATTCTCAGTATTAGGAGGGCCGGAGAATGTGATTTGTTTTTCTTAGAAATGTTATGATACTGCAATGTAAATGATTGCTTAAGAGAATGAAAAAATGAGAAAAATGTGTGTGTCCTGTAATGTATTAAGACATAGATACCTCTCTTTGTAAATATATTGCCTTTCCAAATGTTCTAGATAAATAATTTTAGAGAAGAGACATGAATAGATTGGAAATGAGGGGTTGCAGTTCTAAGTAGGCTGGTTGCATCAGGGTGCAGGTTTTACTTAATATTGGTTTATGGTCCTGTAACCCTAACATATGAATTCCGTATTGTTAACTTGGAAAAGGTGTACTTAGGAAGAGGAAAGTGAAATTCTTATGCCTCTGGGATTAATATGGACAAGAATCGGCATACAGCCTCTTTCTAAAAAGGCATTGATTTGTGTAAGACTTAACCTTAATTTTGAAGAGATTAGTTTTATTCTTTAAACAGTCAGTCATGTTGAAATTGCTGGAACCAGATGAGTTTAAATAAAAAAAAAAATCTGAAACTTCCTGTGACTTCTCTTGTTATTGGCTTCAGTGTATTTGAACTTAAGAAATAGGTGCACAGTTGATACGACTCAGAACTCCCTAAATGTTGCTTGTAATCTCTTACAYTTGTCACTTGTGTAAGTGGTAATATATAGAAGTGCTTAATTTCCCAAACTGAGTGTGTGTATCTTTTGCACCGCTGCATACACCAGGCGATTGCACACAGGGAATATTAGTGAATTAGAGAATATTATTCTCTAATATTAGAGAATATTAGAACTTGATTCCTGCGGGCCTGAGTGGGGAGCGGCACCGCTGACATTGCTCTTGCGAGTCTGTCATCTCCTCGCAGAGCTTTGAGCTTGCTGCTGCTGGCGCTGGCAGCAGCTTCATCATCTCCTGCACTGTTATTTCAGGAATGGACAGTAATGGAAACTGTTGAGCATAGTAGCAGGATAGGATCATCTTAGCAGCTGGTGGGCAGTGCAGTTTCTCTGTGGAGGTATTTGTAGTAAAATGCCACCCAATCCCACTGTTGTAATATGCAGCAAACC